TAAAAGTCAAGTAACATGTTTTGTCTGGAGATGTGGTAGAGCTGTAGGATTGGATTGGGATATGTCTTGTTGCAAAAGTGAAGAAAGGCTTGTTTGAAAAGGCTCTGATCTGAGAACCTTGTATAAAGTATGAATTCATTAAACAGTGAATGTAAAATCTATCTTTCCAAGTAGGGCTTTGGGAGGAGAGGAAAGTGTTTTACAAGTAGATCTCCTCACAGCTGTCCTGTGAGAGCTGAAAATGGTGTCTCTGTTCTAGATGTCTGGAAACTGAGGCACTGACACATGCTTGGCCAGAGACCGTAAAGCAAATAACCCTGAAAGCCAGGACCAGAGTGCCAGGTTCTGCACCACGGTCAAGTGCTCCAGGCACAGAACCAAGCAGTTTCCTAGCTCTTGAGGAAAAACTGCTAAATCTTTTGTACACGTTCAGATGAGTTGGTCAGATTTTTGTAAGCTGACGATGTTCTTTAGTATTCTTTACCCAGGTCTGTTAGGACTTGTGCTTCCATGGAAGCCATGTCTCTTACAAGGGTGGGTTTTTTTCTCTCACTGATTCCTTAAATGACCGGCTCTCAATTTTAATTCTAGTCTAAAGGATTTCAGTACTTGTCTCCTGTCAATATTAAGGTTTTATATTTGTCCTTTCATGACTTACGACAGTAGTAAAGGGCAGCAGTTATAAATACCTTATCTTTTTGACAATTAAGCAGCCAACAGTGGTGCTCTCAGTTCAGTGTTAAATTCAGCCATGCTTTTAATAGTCTCATGTTGTAAACATCAAGCTGACAAGTAGATGTAAGTGATTAGCAGGGGAAAACAAAGGAAGTGTATTCACTGCTTCCAACCAACAGAGACGCATTTGGCTTTCATCCTTGATTCTCCAAAACCAAAGCAATCTAATAAATCTGGGGAACCACACTAATTCTGATGCCTTTGTGTCATCTGTAAAATCACAATAGTTAGAATTTAAGACCAGACCCTGTGCTGCCAAGGGGTTGTTAACAGGAGAGGGAGGAAAAATGTAAACAGTTATTCTGCAGGAGGGAAGAGACAACATAGTCGCTACAGTGGAAATTGCCTTTAAATACTGTTTTATACTATAATTGATACAAAGGACCTTCTCCCCAGCATTCTCCTGTATTTTTTCAGCCTGGATGCACTTTACATTTCATGGATACAAGGACAGATCCTCTTCAGGGCACTACAGAATCTCCAAGAGGAAAGTGGCAGTCTTGCCAGGGGTCATGACCCCACAGAGCTTTTCAGCATTATTTAGTGGAGTCAGAGAACACAGCAATGTCTGCTGCAGTGTGCTCTCCCAAGGGCCTTTCCTTTTCTCCTCCATGCCACATCTAATCCCCATTCTTACACCTCCAAAACCCAGTGCCCTTAAAGAAGTCACAGCTTAGTTGTTCCCTTTCAGTCTTACTGACTGTAAAATGGGAATAGTGATCCTTACTACTTCATACAAGACACGCAAATAAGTGTGGGCAAGCTCAAGGAACTGCTTTGATAATTGGTGTTTCTTAGAAGATGCTCTCAAACTATTGTTAAAATATTTGCTTTTGGAACATATTTAGGCACCTTTTTTAAGGAGTAAGTTGATGGCCCTGCTTGGAAGGGCAAATGCTGATGCGCAGGTAGAAACATCTACCTGTTCTTCAGTGAAAATAATATTTCAGCTGTGAAATCTGAAATAGATATGGAATCTGCCACACTTACTGGCATTTATCCAGGTGCCAAATGTCACTTTATTGCAAACTTTTTCTGAAGACTGAGAAAAATCATCTGATGTAGTTCTATAGAAGTAGAAAAGAAGATTAAAAGGATGGGATGGTACCCAAAATGTTTGTACTTGTTTTTTAAACAGATATTTTGAACAGTTCTGTGGTTGATTAAAATGGAGTATTCTCCTTTTTTTTTTTTTTTTTCCTCCTTTATAAAGTTTTAGTTTCTTATTCTCTTCTCCAATTTTCAAATTTAGAGAGGGAAGAAATAAGTATATTTGTAATGTGAATGCAAGATGTTGAATTGTGTATGCTTTTTTAATGGTAAATGAATATACAGGAGGATTTATTGGAGCTTTCTGTTATGAATTGTTAATATTTCACAAATGCTGCATTTAAAAAGTGCACAAGCTTTTCTTTTGAAGTTGGAAGTCATGATTAGAATTATTTTCCAGCATTGTATAAAAATGATGGCAAAATGTCTCAGGGTCTAGATGGAACAATTAAAAACTTTTCTTTTTTTGCATTTTGGTTTTGTTACCAGCAGGCTGGGTCTGAAAACCAACAGTCAGTGTGTCATCTCTTTGAAGCTGTTTTCTGTTCTTTATGGCTGTGAATACTCATCACAAAACTCTCTGGTATAATGAAGCTCAGTGTTTGGTATCAGCAGAGCTGTTGTCTTCACTGAGCCACAGTCTCCTGTAGTCCTGTTCCCATCATTAAATCACTTACCATCATGGACATGTTAGCTGAAGAGGGTCTGTTATATCATCCAATCTGTGGTAATACAGGATTTTTCCTTCAGGAGACATCAGCCAGGAAAATTTTATGCTAGTGCTGCTCGTTTGGTGGATAAATGAAGGGCCTTAGTCTCTTTGGGAGTCAGCTGCCTGCTGCCTTAAGTAGTAAATTCAGTCTCTTGACATGTACATGTGTGTGTGCATGTACACACCAGAAAGGCTTCTCCCGAGGAGCGTGAGCACCTTGATCTTTGACCGTGTACCGCTGCACATACATGAATGATTTAGAATTGAAGTGCCTGACAGCGTTATAAGCTGTTAGCTGGTGTTAGATTTCAAGGGCAGCCAGTGTGGGAGGCCCTTTGAAATGAGTCGGGATCTCTGAAGTGTCTCCAGACACATAGACATTGACCTGTTGGTTGGAAATGCCTGCATGGGAGAGCTGGGGCCGGGAGTTACAGCAGCTGTGTTCTGAAAGCCACCCACAAGTCCAATAAACCAGGGGGAAACTCTTCAGAATTAGTTTAAATAGGCATTAAAGATGCCCTTTAAATAATAATAATAATAAATTCCAACCTTTAGTTCTTCAGAAACAGCAGTTCACTACTGTATCACAAACTGGAAGATCATGTATGTTAACTGTCACTTCTCACTTTAATGCATTAATGTGCGTAAGAGATGCTGCATAGACATAGATGGCTGCTAGGAGAGGCTGCTGTGTCAAGTAATGATCATTAAAGATTTTTTTTTTTTTTTTCCCCCGAGAAACGTACATTCAAGTTCCTTTACTTAATGTATGTGTTATACTTTAATTGCATGCTTTTCTCATAAGAGTGCATTTGTTACTGTTTCATACGCCCTTTTAAACATCTGTTGTATTTTTAGGAGTGTTGTATTATTGTGCTTTTCTGTTCTAAAACACAAAGCCTGGCTCGGATCATTAGCCATGCTGCTATTTAATGTTTTGAGCTTCTGAAATTAATGAAATATGCATTACTGGCATATGACAGCTGGTTTTTCCTTTGTTTTCAGAATTATTTGTATTTAAGTAGGGTGTAAAATTAGTAAATTTTGGCTGCAGAGCTATTGCCTACATGTTGTGGTTTGAATTTAATGAACATACTTGTTTGATCACATCTTCAAAAAAAAAAAATTTTTTTAAATGTCAATGAAATTGTCTCCCTCATACCCTTTCTTTTCTGTTTTAATGATCCAAATGTTTTAATGGATATTTGTGAGGTCTTGTGATTTCTTGATGAAAAAGCAGAGCTATTAGTGTTTGGTTAAAATGAATCCAGCAAAGCAGTGATGCTGGGTGAGCTTAATGATGGTTCTGAATGTATCAGGGATTTTGCCACTGGCTTCAGTGGTGCTAAACTGTCTCCCAGAATATTGAAGTGTTACGTGTTTAAGTACCAACATCAGAAAAGTTTTACTGACTCCTCCTTGTAGGCAGAGGAGAATGGAATTTGAACTGTTAACAATACAGATGCAACATTATTCATATCTGAAATCAAAACAAGAGAAACGAATATTGATTGAAGAGCTTTTGTACTTGAGGGCACAGGACTCCAAATCTGAATGCATAAGTTTCTATTTGCCTTGAAGTGTGGACAGGTAATCAGAAGTGTTTGAATTACTGCAAATTAATGAATTACCACTTGGCTTTTAAACCACAATAAGTGACCATACCTTTACAACTCAGACGCTAATTGAGGGCAGTGGTGGGTTTTTTGCCGTTTTCTGTATTTATTGCTACCTTGCTGTTCATGGTCATACCGGTCTTGGTGGAACTGTGCAGTGAATCAAGACAAAAACAATCTAGGAAAACGAGGTTGGTTATCTTTACAGCCCAGCTCAGTCCCACACCTGGTTTGCTGCATGGTGCCTAGCAGTTGTAGAAAAAAAACCAGAAAGGTAGATTTGTATGGAACAGAGATTCTTCTCCCAAAGATACATGTGTAAAATACTGCCTCAGCCCACTCTAATAACCTATGAGAAAATACACTGCCTTGAACCATGTGGGTTGCAGACAGTACATGTGATGAGTGGTTTCAAGCTGATTTTTTTTTTTTTTAACTTCTCATTTGCAATGGAATAAAAGAATAAACAAGTTATTGCTATTTGTCTGATGGATTGTAACTTCTTAGGTATGATAATTATTCTTGTGGTCGTGTGTTCATAGCAAAAGAGTGTGATCTCTGAGTTGTTTAGCATTTCTGTACAGCGTTTTAACAAAGCAACAGTGCGTGTTAGTTAATGCTTGTATGGTAATGATCTAAGGGTCTCTACCTTGCCATCTTAGAGTAGAGGTGGCAACAGCAGTATGTCTAAACACACAAAGTACTGTATTTAAAATATCCAAATTATCATGGTGATTAGACAGCACTGCAAACCCCATGAGAATTACTCTTGGCAGTGGTGTTCCATCCCTAAAATAACAGGAATGTATTTGCATCTTACCAGTCATTTGAGGTGATCCTCAGATTATATAGTAATGTGGATTGTTTTACGCTTTGCTTTTAAACAGGGCAGAAAAGCTTCAGTTGCTGAACCACAGGCCTGTGACGGCAGTTGAAATACAGCTGGTAAGTAACAATACTCCGGACTGCTTAAAGCTTAAATGAAACCAGCTTTAACCTTGAAGATCCGTTGAATAATTGCTTTCTCATGGTCAGTGATTGAATGTATCCCTTTATGCACATCTTTACATTCATGGTTTGAAATCCGCTCTGCTTCCTCTCTGAGACCTCCTTAGAGACTTGCCCATCTTTCTCTCAGACAGATTCTCCACCTCTCTTTGCTTCAGTGTCACATATTGAAAATGTCCAATGCAGTCATTAAAGGTTAGTTACAGTATTGCATCTAAGAATATATTTAACCTGAGTCTTTTTGCTGCTGCTTTGTAACCAAGTACTTCACTTTTTGACAGCTGTGATGACATGGTTGTTTTGATGGCAGGGTTTTATGTTATAGTGAAACCAAACACACTAAAAGGAATGAGTAATGACTGATACAGAATTTTGAGCAGTGGTGCAGAGTGAGAAATGGATATAAACAGACTTTCTGATGGAAAGTAGCCATTGTCTATCTGTTAAGCATAATTCTGATGTAAAGATGGATTGTCACTAAATAGATGGTTCTATTCTCTGAAGTGTCTCCTTAGGAATAAAAAAATCTGCGGTAATAGAGATTATTATAGTAAGGATATTATTTTAATAAAGATCTCTTACATTAAGAACATCTGTTTATAATCGTATCCTGAAACCAGACTGTGTAGTAACAGGATCGTATTTTGCTGCAAAAAAGGGAAGGATTAAAGAGGTACCAGTAGGACTATTTTTCTTTTGTAGCCAAGGAGTAGACGTTACAGTGCTGAAGGCATCTCGTAAAAGACTGCTTCTAGCTGAGGAATTAATACTGTGTTTTGTGATTGAAGAGATCAATGTCAATCAACAACCCAACCAAAAGCATTAAGGCTTCATGAGTTTTGCTTAGGAATTTAGTTACAGGCGATGATGTAGAGCCTGTCTCATATCTTTGTTAGCTTCGTGTGCTTACACACAGATTTACTATATTTGCATACAGACCACAAAAGGTCGTCTTCTTCCCTTTTTTTCTTTAAATGCAGTAATCTGCTGCTTTCAGGTGACTGTGTGGTTTTGTCTGTTCTTTTCCCTCCTCCCCTTGTTGTCCTACCCAGTTCCTCATTATCTTACCTATCCATAAAATACTGAAAATAATTTTGCTCCTGTGTCATATTTGAAGTCCAGGAGGCAAGTGTAAGAAATTTGCACCTTTATGTTAGAAGTCAGGTTTCTGTAGAGCGTCATACTTTAGATATTCCAAGGTTTGTAGTGTCAAAGTTAGATAAAGCTCATTGCTAAAACTGACAGAATACAGATAGGAGATGTGAGTGCAGTGTCGGTCCATTATTGATATGTAACCCTTCTTTTATGATCAAAAGCAACTTGTGGAAAATGTAATAATACATTTGGGGACTAGCCTGAATTTGTGTTGTCATGAAAGTTTTGGGGATGGAGTCACTTCTGTTCCATTGTGATACCCCTGTAGTTCCCAGGAGGAGTTTCTCCAAAACTAGTATTGCAGTAATCGAAGTTGACGGGATTGTTAACACTGTGTTAAATTAAGCCTCCCTAAAATTGCAGTTCATTTATTCTTTCATCAAAGCACATCAAGTCTTTTGAGCTCAGTAACTGCTAGGAAATTGCAGGCCATTTTTGTTAGTGAAATACAGAGACTAGAAGCCATAGCAAGGAAATGATTTTACTGTTTGATTGCTGTCTTGAATCGTTTTAGGTTTTGGTGAGGACAGGGGAAAGAGACTGTAGCAGTGCAGCATCTTTGAACACAAAAACCCTCTGTCTTCCCTGAGCATCTCTGAGTATAAAATAATGCAGAGCAGCAGAGGCTGCCAGCATTTTCTTCGTTGATGTTGGTGGGGAAAAGATTACCCATGCAGAGACTTTATGCAAGCAAATCAATTCACTGCGGTGGATGGATGAGAGACAACGTAGAGGGAGGTGGATACTAGGTCTAAAATTTCCCCAGTTCTCCTTCGTTCAACTTGTCCCTGCCACTCAAAAGCTTTTGGGTCACTCCTGAAATTGTATCGGAAATAAATGATGATGAAAACTTCTGACTACTTCATACAATGTAGGCAAATCAATTTTATTTTTTAAAAAGCTTTAAGCAAAATGCCAAACAAGCCATGTCTCTGCCTCTCGGTTACTCAAATATTTTGATGTCTCAAACTTCTACTCAGTGCTGCCTGTCCATGGAATGGAGTCAGATTCACCTGATAGGCTTTTAACAGTTGATGTGAAAGGATAGTTATATTTACTACTGCTTGTTGCTTTTTTGCCTTTCCAACTTTTTGTTTTTTTAATATCCCTGTATAACATTCCTTGTCTTTAGTTGTATGCAAGCAAAAATTTTGATAAAACTGTATTTAAGCTAAAAAGCAATTTTATGTCGTGATCTTCTGATCTCAAATTCTTTTTTAAGTCTTTATGCATAAATTGCTGTAATTGTTCATATTTGTCTTTTCCGAACTGTGTGCCAGGATTTATTTTCAAACAACAATAGCAACAAAAGGAGCATGAAATCCTAATTCATATCCCACAGGGTAAAACACTGTACATATTGCAGCTATCTTGACCTCCTGTTTTAATCTTTAACATATGTTGTTCCTGGCACAGTGATTCACAAAGGAGGAAAAAAAAAAAAAAGGACAGTGATGTTGATCTAACCATGACAGTGGCCCAGCTTTACTTAATGCCGAACATGATGGGTTTGAAGATTAAGCATCTTTTTTTTTCTAATGAACAAATTGCTCCACATTCTTCTCTCTGAATGGAAAAGTAGATTTTAATTCTGTGCTTTTGAAAACTAAATTTCCATCTCTGACAGCTTCATACCTCGTGATATGTGCTCTGCATAACCAGCCTGGCAGATTCTTTTGTTGTTGAATAGAAAATAATAAAGTAAAGTATTCTTCTGGAAAATGGAAGATGTTAGAGGATTTAAACATTTTATTTTCTCAACAATATAGGTTGCTTCCCACTCTTCATACTTGGTTAATTATGTCTGAGGGACATTAATCCAGTCTTTTATGGTATTTCTTTTTTATGTGCTTTTTTTCTATTAGCATGTTGGCGCTGAACAATTTCAGATTACTGCTCAAAGGAGGAAATAGCAGTCATTTTCTCATAAAATATGTACCTCCTACACTGGAGTTAAATTATGTGCTTGATAGCTTTGGAAGAGATCAGAATCCCTATTTCCTTTTTTTAATGTAGTCTAATGGTTATTTTTAAAATAGAATTTTTATCTTATTAGTCAAATAACCAACACCTTTTAACACACAGGTTGTTCTGTTCTGTGATGCTGAGGTTTGTTACCCATCAAATATTACTTAGTCTTGAGAATGTTTCTCAACTTTTTCAGGACTTTTTAGGGTTCTTCAGTGTGGCTTTCTTTATTCTTCAGCATTTGCAGTGTGTTGTGTGTCTTAGGAGGCTAAATGAAATACACATTAGCACTGAAAGCTTAAAAGCAGGACAGTGAGGCTGATGAAGTCTCTTATACTTTGCTTTTACTTGGGTAAGTAAAAAAGATAAGGTATAGTTATAATTAGGGAAGGCATGTTTCTAAACTGTTTGTCTTTGTTTCACCAAGTAAAAAAAAAAAAATCTAGGCAAGTATGCCTGTGTCTGTGTTCATATTTAGTACTTACACGTGTACATGGCACTATGAACATACAGGTTTGCACATTTATTTTATGAATAAACATTTTAATCTTTTAAATCATCTTGACAGTCAGGCTAGCTGTTACTTTCTGATTTACCTTCTCGGTAAAGAAAATCTTTAAAAGCTTCTGAAAACTGCTTTCTGCCATGAGAATTTATCAGCAGGTTTTAATGTGACTTATGGCTTAATGTAATTCTCTTATTACGTTCTGATTTGGTAATTGTGGTTGTTTTGTTCCTCTGAGAAATCCATACGTAGTGCTCAATTTAAAAAAGCTACTGTTAAAATGTGCAGCTGGGAAGGGCTGCATGGTAGTAAAATATTCCACATACACATTTGTTTAATAAGCGCAGCTCTGGTTCCCAGTAGCAGTTATGTTACTGAGCAAGGCATCTGCCAGCGCTTTAATTCTGCACTTGGCGAGCGATTTGTCTTTTTGTTCTCTTGTAGCAAGATTCAGTGATGGATGTTGGATGCATGTTTCATTTTGCTGTGTTAGAAAGCCAGTGCAAAGGTGTATCTGGAGAGGCAGAACAGAACTGGGATCATTTTATTGACGTATTTTCCATTTAGTAAATGCCTAATTTTAAGCTTAAAATCCAGTTAAGCTAGTTGGACCTCTTGAGTACTTGAAATTAAGTCAAAACATAAGCTGTGGCTTAACAGTTAAGGTTCAAGGTGCTTAAGCAGGTGAAAAATTGGTTATTAGACTTGTAAATAAAGGTAGCATTGCTCTCAAAGGTGAGCAGTAGTGTGGCTTCAGCTGCCTTCTGAATATTTTGTATATATTCCACAGTTCTGAAGATCTGGCTGTTTTTGTCAATACATTTATCACTAAACTAAGAAGCAACACTAGGTACTCAGGCTGTATGAAAAATTTTTTTTTTTTTTTTTTTGGTTAGCTGTAAGAATTTTGTGCCAACTAAATTACCAAATACAGTTTTCCTGCTTCTTTCCTTGATTCCTTCTTTGGTCATCTTGTAGATTATATTTAGGGCATTAGCCTGGGGGGAAAATGAAATGTGAAAATTTCTTACTGTACGAATATACTGCAATGAGAATTTTAAACTGTTAGTGGTTTGAGTCAAATAGAAGATATTGCTGAGGCCTGACTTGACTAAGTTGATCTTGACCACGTAGTTGCATTTCATAGAAAATACATAGTGTGTATATGTAGGAATTGCATTAATATACTATAACATTTGCTACAAAACCACTGTAGTTTATTTTGGGATGGTATAGACTTGAATGCTGAAAAGCAGTAGCAGCTTGGGAATTGTTTATTACAAGAAGTAGCATAGCTGACATGCCTACTGCCTTTCTCTTGTGTTCATTTCAAGAAAATCCTTGCTCTCAGCCCTAAGGAGGAGACATGCTTGTCTTGCTGCACATCAGGGTGCTCTTTATCTGTAAATTGTGTTACCGTAACGTTGTCCAATTCTGTTACTTGCACAAATCCCTGAATATTGAACATGCACGGTTCAGCAGAGCTTTGGTTGATGATACCCTACACTTTGCACATGGCATCATCTGTGAGGATAATCTGTTTCCATTTGGTGTGTGTGGCACTGCCAACATAAACATCTTATGTCATACACTTATTAAAAACACTTGCATTTTTGTTTTCCTTAGTATGAAGTTTGCATTCCTGACTGCTTATGGTTTGAATCTCTTGCTTGAGCAGTTTCAGCCAAATGTGAGTTAGAGAGTAGCAAGGGTTTTTGATATTTTTTCATGTATTGATAAAATTCTTGCTGGAAAAGTAGGTACTTGAATGATAGTTGTTTCTTTTTCCCTCTGAGGCTTTTTCTTACACATAATTTCTCCTCTGAGCATCATAACATTATATCCTAGTACTATCAGTAGCAAAGGTATTTTGTCTCATAGTTGTAAATCAGAAGACTTTGAACATCTGTTGAATCTAGAATAAGCCCCTGAGTGATCTGTTTCCCATGATCACTGTTTTCCTTTAGGACAGTTTCATTGCTCTCTGTGCTTAATTTTTGCATTTTTGCTTCTGGCATGCTGCTTTGCTGCTTCCTAATTGCTTATGTTTTCATAAGTTGCTGCTTAGGCTGTTTTCCTGAAAGGTGAAAAAAATTGATTTTTATAGCTTATGCTTTTGGTCCTTTGAACTCTTGAATAGTATCACAGTAAAATAGCACTGAAGCATCGGCTTGAATAATAAGGTGTCCGTCCTGCCACATGTAGATATTTGTCTGTCACTGGTTCCTGGTGTGGGAGCTGGCAGTGTGTGGCTTGGAGGCACTGAGAGGTGAGCCCTTGATGAGTTTTGCTGCAGTAGTTCACAGAATTACCACTTCCCTCTGGCAGATACTACAGATCTGTCAGCAGAAGAGAATTGGGAGCTACATTACCCACTCCTCAGTGCAGTATCTGGCATCTTTCTTTAAAGATGCTTTTCTTAACGGTTTAATGAGACATCAGTTGAAGCACCAAAGTATCTGAAACATGAGAGACTATTTTCTTTCATCAACTTTCTGGTAAAGCGTGATTTCTTAAACTGCCAGAGCAATCACCAGAGCTCATCTGTCACTGTCCCAAGTGATATCTGCAGTTTGTCAGTCTTGCAGGCTTCCATGTTCTGCCAGTACAAATGGCATCAATCTGGTTGTTCGTACTGGGAGTTGGGCTGTTATTCATTCAGCACTGAGGAGCATGTAAGAAGCAGTGATTAGTCACTCACATAAGTGTATCCTACCTTAAATGCAGAAGTCGAGAGGAGTTGATGCTGATCTAGAAATCACTCTCTATTACCTGTTGTAAGTTCTGATCAAATCCTTGTGTATAACTCTGGGTACGTGAAGCAGGCACCTAAAGGAGAAAATGTTTGGAGAGGAAAGGGAGAGGGAATATATAGGGAAGGATAAAATTTAAATGAGGAAGAAGGGTGGACTTCGTGTGGTTCAATAAATCAAATTAAACTAGGCAAGGTGCCATTTGATCAGAAAGCAGTGAGATAATAATGAATGTGGGAGACATTGAGCACTAAGAGATAAATCATTCTGCCATAAGTGATACTGCCCGTCCAAAGGATGTGGGCTTTTTCTTTGTATGGCTCCTGCTGCTGTGGGGCTGTCACCTTTAAAATTCAGTGTAACAGTAATTAATCACAATGTAATCCAGTCCAAAAACCAGCCTGATAATCCTCTACAAAATTTAATAGCATAGGTCATCCATAGAGTAATGGCTTTGTCAGGAGTACTGGCAATAGAAGAGTGTATGTAGGCTCTGTGACATACCTTATTGTATAACGTTGATGCTCCGAGGTATGCTAGTCAAGCTGCCGAGATGATCTCCTCTGAAATTCAGCTTAGCAGGCAATTATCAGCACTTCAGTCGCTGCAGCAGTTGCTTACACAGAAGGGTAATGTTAGGAGGATTTTTAGTATATTTTAATGCATAGTGTATAGTATAGCAGCTGGCAGTAATGAGAGCCAGGGCTGTTTTTCAAGCCACTATAGTTCTTGAACTAACTGTACTTGGAAAGCCACTCTCCAGAGAATTGCATCCTTTGATCAGGATGTCCCCAAAACCAGTCATTTGCAAAGGGACATTCGCTGTCTGCCTTTTGCTGCATGAGTGGATTCTAGTGCGCTCGCTTTCCTCTCCTCAAGGGTCTGTGGATAATGGCTGATGAAAGATGATCAGATTGTGCAAGGAGGGTTCATAGGACATTGAAGGAAAAAAAAAAAAAAAGTTAATTGAATATACCACTCTGCTTTTTAGAAGGCAAGATTCATCTGAATAGCTGACAATTTATAGCTAGAACTGATTAAACCTGCGTTGACTTGGAACTGTAATTAATATAAATCACTGCTCTTCAAAGGACATTTTAAAGGACTTTGTATAAGAAAGAAAATCTCAAACCCCGCAATCCTAATTGGTTTCATTTGCATTTGAAGAGTTCTTTTTGGCTTGCTTTTCCAGTCCTCTGACAAGCTTTTCCTTTTAACAGCTGCCTATAAATTAGGGCAGTTGTTTTTAGTGGTAGCAGTGATGTAAGAGTTCCCACAGCTCCAGAGTGAGAGTAGGTCCCTAATTAACCTTATGGAATTTTATTGTTGATTCATGACAGCATGTTTTGTGTTGCGCAGAGCTTGTGTGTGCCTTTATATTCAGGAATCTCACAATCCAAGCAAATTCCAGGTGCTGTAGGATTAGGTGGTTTCTTTTATGGCCTGATTACTTATAGTCTAGGTGCTGGGGCAGATGCCAAGGTTCAGGTAACTGCTCTCATGTTATCTCATTTCAATTCTCGCATGAAAGCACAGGAATTTAGGAATATAGGTCAGGAGGGTAGGTCTGTACAAGAGCTAAATGAAAAGCCTTGCTCAGTGGTGTGTAGGTTGAGAGGCGTTAGGAGAAAGCAGGGAGGAAAGCCTGCTCTGAGTGTGTTGTTTTCCTTGTAAAGAAAGCAGGGTCTCATTGTGGAGTGCCAATTGTAGTGGATAACAATGGAGCTCTTCTTTCTTTTTTTAAAATATTGCAAGAATTCCACTTTGTAAAATGCTTTTGTAATGAGCTGACTATGTCTTGCATCCACTGAGAATAGTATTTCCCAGTTAGTTGAGTCCTTCTGTTTGGAGCTGAGGAAGGAAGCATGGATTTAATGAGTACAATGGATTGTTTTTTGCCTTGCAGATGGTAGAAGAAAGCGAGGAAAGGCTAACAGAAGAGCAGATTGAGTCACTTCTCCAGACAGTCACCAGTATTCTTCCAGGGGATCCGGAAGAACAACAGACAGACTCAACAATGGCAACCGAAGACCAAGGTGACCAAGCGTAGGAGGCATCTAGACCAAAGCTGCCAACAACATCAGCAGAAGAGAATCAGCTAATATTTTTCTGTTTTTTACTTGATACCAGTTTAATCTTGTATTGGACATCACTGTAAAATATGTCACAATTTTTATTACTCAGAGGTGATGAGGGAAGCAATTGTTTACAAGAAATCATGGAAAAGGACACTATTGTTTCAGCATTTTGTCATAAACAGGGATGGTAGTAACTGAGTTTGTAATGCAGCAGTCTGAGAAATTATGGGGCACGGAATCTGAAGCTTTTGTATTTTTTCCATTACCCATGTAACAGCTGTACATTTGAATAGGCTTATATATAGCTGGCAATGTTTTAATTATCACAGCAGTACTATAATTATAATTGCTTTCATATGCTTTTGAATTGCCCAACTGGTTTTCAGAATACAGTCTACAATACAAAGCCAACTTTTGGAGCTGTTTGTGAAAAGGGCTGTTTTCAGTGATCAGAACATAGAGTAATGTACAAGAACTGCTTGGAATCTGGCCAGACGATTTCAAGTAGGCTGTTGGCATCATGGAAATGAGAGGATCTGTTGGTAGGGTAACTGTTCTCAAGGGTGTCTGACAGTCCGTACTTGATAAAAGAGAGATCCAGATCATCAGCTAAATCAACATATTGCCACTGAAATTAGCTGAGTTGGACTAGTTTACAGCAGTTGAGACTCCAGACTCAAATGTTAAGGCTCTTAGTAAGAGAAACAGAAGAACATTTAGGCATGAGGTGTGTATTTTCCGTTTGAAGGTTCGTTTGTTCCAGTATTTATGTATCGACAAGTCAGTCTTGTGAACATGCTTTCGACTGTGGAATAAATGAATGAATCAACACCGAAGGGAAGTCCTAATCTGGTTTAGAAGAATGAGAATCAGTCCTGGTTGAAGCAGAATTTTCTGTGTACTGAGCTTTTATCTGATTAAAGATTTCGGGATCAAGTATTTGATGTTGAAAGCATTGATGATTACAATAAATCATTTGTGTATATATACATAAAGACATGAGTTACACACGGCACTGGTTTTATACTGTGACTGCAAACTATTCTTTTACAATTATAATGTGCGGGAAATAGAAATAAAGTTTGAAGTATATCCTGGGAATTTTGAGGCTTATAGACAAGGTTTCAGACCTTAAATCAGAATATCTGACTTTTTTTTTTTTTCCCCGTGTGTCTGTCATGATTTTATTTTATGCAAAGAATTTAGTCTTTCTAAGCTTTAGTTGTGCCATATATGAAAAGGAGTGATAAGTTCCAGTGTCTGGGGGATTTGTGATATGCATTGTCATGGTATTTTAAGCTTCTTTGATGTTTGGAGAGAAAAGGAAATGATTGGAAAATATATTTGTTACCTCGCAAAGATAATTTACCTTCTTAAATGCATTCAAGGCTGGAGGCTAAAGGTACGTTTTGACTGGGTAAGTGTAGTATTAGAGGGGGAAAGTCCTTGGTGGGTTTTGTGATACATCAATATATATTTTTTTTTCTGTAAATCTGCAAGAAAACAAGAGATATAAGTAGATCATATTATGGGATGACATGCAGTTAATTTTAAAATTAGCATTTTTTACTCTTAGCAGTCACGGGTGTTGTTTGACATGCTGTGGCCTTGGGCTGCAAGTGTTTACATTTTTATCTGTCTCTTTCTAAAATTATTGAAGCATGTTTTAAACTTACAAAAAGCAGATGGAACCAGATCGCAAGTGTCTTTAGCCAGCGAGAATATTTTAACAGACCTCTGAAGTTAGATGCTTCATTTTGGGAACTGCTGATTCGTTATCGTAATGGATTTTTGCCAGCATCCATGTTGTCTTCTGTTGTATGCGTATTGTACAAAGTACAAGAACTCATTCACTTGCTATTATATTTAACCTTTTTATCAAAATCGATTCCAGATGGATACATATTTTAAACTTGTGCAAGTGCATGAATAACTTGTTCAGTCTCAGTTAAGATACGTAAACTATAATTTCCCTAAAAATGCAATACTAAGTAACATTTGAAGAGATCTGGGATTTTGACATCTGCATTACATCAAGAAATCACTTTCAAATCTACTCTTCTGCTCTCTGGCTGTGTAAGCACAGGTGAGGAATTACTCTGGCTCTGAGAGCAGGTTTCATGTTGTGTTGTTTACTCTCGGGTGTGTTCTTTGGAAACCTGAGACTCAGAAACGGTTTATGGAAAGCAAATTTCATCTTGCTTATATGATACCATTTATTACAGTGTCCTGTGTATTACATAAAAGTTGTGCTTGTCTCCCAAGGCTGCTTTTTTGTTTTCATAACCACTTGGTTATCTAACACAATGAATGTGCTCTGCTAGTTCTGTTGAAGGGGACAAGGTGGCAGGAAGAGAGGGGCACTCCCAGGTGTCACGTGCGTGTTGAGTATTTAAAAGCATGGTCTGTAATTTTGAGAAGGGCAGAGGACTCGGCCCTTTCTGAATATTTAAGAAGTGCATATTCTTTATAGCTGTCTAATTTCTTGCGTGTTCCTCCCTTTTATTTTGTATCTGGGGGGCTTTAACTGATTGACAGCTCTGCTTAGGGCAGCTCTTGTGCTGTCAGCACCCCTCTGGAAGAAATGGGAAACGAGCTGCCAGAATTTACCTGAGGTTTCAAGCTGTTTGTGAGGTGCTGGGGGTTTTATTTTCATAAATTTAAGCCCAAGAATGACAGCTCTCTTTAGGACTGTTTGGCAGTCCTCTCTGGAGAAGTTTTATTAGCGAGAAGGTTTGTTTTATAGGAAGAGAAGGAGCTGTGACTCCTACCTGGCTGTGCTCTGGTGCTGGGAAAGGGAAATAAGTCCATTGGAAACAGACGTCTGCAGGGAATTTTGTAGGAGATAGAGGAAATCCCTACTGATGAGCTGAGCAGCTTTAGTGGTGTGGCAGGGCTGTGTATGAGCCTGTCGCCCATCGCTGAAATGCAGAATTTGACCAGCTCTCCTTTTCCTGCAGGGAGCACAATGCACTTTGTTTGTCTGTATTTGTGTGCCAGATTTACTAGATAAAGCTGTGTAGTCTGAATTAAAAGAAGCAAACCCAAAAATTTTGGAGTTCTGGTTTTCTGAAGCATGTCTTCAAACAGCTTTGAAGTAGGACATGGAAATGGCATTCAAGCCTAATGCATCAGTGTGCTGGAAGGGTTAAATAACATCTACAGAGTTTCTTGAAGTTTAAAAGTGTTTATACAAATGTTTTTAAAAAGGTCCTGTCATAAACAGTCCTGTACATAAATTTTTCCTTACTAAAATCTCTACTGGTTGTAGACAAGCTATTGCTTTCAGTGTCATCCAAACGGGGCAGATTTACACTGGTTGAGAATTGTGCCCTAAAATAATTAACCCATCACATCACGGTAGGGTGTCAGGGGTGGATGTCTGCAGCTGCTGTAATCCTGGCAGATCTCTGAAACATGAAGAATAATCATACTGGACATATTTTTGAAACTGTCATACCTCAGAAGAAATAAAGTTAAGAAATTTAACTAGAACACAGCAGAGTTGTTGCAGACTGAAGTCAGGATGTGCCCTGGAGCAAATTCCTGCTGGTCCCAAACCTGTCTCGGAGGCTGCGCTCAGAGGGAAAGGGGTGAGCTGCTGGCTGTGTAATTTGTACTTTTTTTTTTTTTTTTTGGTCCCTTTGGAAATGTTTCTCCCAACTGATAGTTGAAGGGGAAAGACCCGGCTGACCCTGCTTGCGTCAGTGGGGTTGGACTAGGTGATCACCAGAGCTCCTGTCCAACCTCCCTGTTTCTGTCAATCTGCTTTCCCTTCCTCCTGCTACCCACTTGGGATGGTTTTGTTTGCTCGCTCCGCACAGGGGCAAAGGCTGCTCTCACCAAGAGCTGAGACGCAGCAGACTGGGGGGGTTCTCCTTGTTCCCCTTTCCATCCGTGCCTGGTGCAGCGCGGCCCCTTTGCAGGTGGGTGCCCGGGGCTCTGGCACATCACAAATACTTTATTTCTAGGATGCTGTTAAAGCAAGAAGGGGTCAGTCTTGCAAGGATCACAGCAGGGTTTTGTGTTGTGCTGGCAGTTCCATCAGTTGCTTGGGGCTGAAATTGGAGTTCATGGAGTTGCTCTGCGTTATCAGTGTGTCCTGCCCATTGCAGCTGTGATGGTGAGTTGAGTCTGTTCCAAAAAAGGCTGCTCTGGTATGAAGGATGCGTCCCAGGATGCTGCTGGGATAAGATGGTGTTTCCGTGTGATCTTAACCACTTAAGTTTTCTCTTGAGTTTTGCTTAATGTTGCTCCATGGGCCAAATTAATCTGTAGTGCCTCTCCACTGCCTTAAATTTGTCCTGAAATACAGAACCATTCACTCATTCATGCTGGCTGTGGTCAGCCCCTCCGAGTCGAGCCATGGGTGAATTAACCCAACCCAAACAGGGATTATCCTGGATCCTGGTTTTGAAACACACAATTTTTTCTGTATTGCATTTTTCTATGACTAAACTTTTTTTATTGCGTCTGGATCTCAATTTTGAAATGCACAAGTTCTTCAGTATTGTATTTTCTATGACTAAACTTTTTATTGCCTCTGCCTCCCCGGGGTGGCAGCTCTTTGCCACGGCAACATGCGAACAGCACGTTCTGTATCCCAGAAAATGTTTCGGTTTGCTTCCTAAGCATGAAATCTGCTTCCCTGTGTTTAGACAAGCTTCAGAAGCATTGGTCTGAACTGGGAGCTACTGTCCTTCGAGTGACTCCTGAAATGCTTTGGGCTTTGACTGCGGGGAGTCAGAGGAGCCTGTGTACACCTCAACCTGGCCAAGACGAGGCTTTTCCCACTTTTCTTTCTTCATTTTCCACCTGCTAGCCATAACCAGCCTTTCCCAGTCTGTTCCTGGTACAGCTCCCACAGCAAAGGGGATGTCAGGCTGTTTCAAAAGATGTACTGCAGAAGGAGCACGAAGAAGGTCTTTTGTGCCTGAAAACTTGCCGGATTTTTTTGCTGTTGTGCCAGCTGGTCTAAATAACAGATAGCGTCTCGCCCCATGAGCTTTGCCTCACTGATAAAAACATCTGTGGTTATGAAATGTCCCTGACAATTGAGAAGGACTCATGGAAATATCTCCGTTGACTCCTTTCCAGCGCAGGCAGGAGATGCTCACAAGTTAACCACCCAGCAGGCAGCAGCAGCTGCCTCTTCGTGCTCTGACCCACAAAAATAAAACCTTACATTTAAATCTGCATGACAACTGTTGTCCATTCAGGATGACACAGGGCCTAGGCAGGCACTAATACTCGGCTCCTGCTGTTCCCTGAGGTCAGTTCTTTGTCCTTAGAGATTTATTTCCTTTCCTGCAGATGAGCAGTGCTGGGGTGGAAGATGTGGAGCAGGGAGCCGCTCTGGCAGGACGGGGGGTGGCTGTGCTGGCAGTGGGAGATGCCCGTGGATGGGTGCGTGGAGCAGCGCGGGGTAGCGAGGTGCAGGTGCAGAGCAGACTGCATCGCAGGGTCGGTGTCGGCCACCTCGAGACCTCTCCATGGGGTCTCCAACACCACCCAACCAGCAAAAGGAGAGGAGCGTTATATAGTGCCTTTGGAGCCCGACTCAGTCAGCAAATGCCAGCTCTGCCACCAGCCTGTGGCCTTGGGGAAGTTGCTTCTCTTCTCTCTGCCTTGATTTCTTCTTCAGCCAAAGGCTGTTATTTTAGGAACCCTGAGGTGAGCGCTCAGCCAGGGCAGGGGCAGGGCTGTCCCTTGGGGCTTGCGGCCAGGCTGATGCCAGGAGTGCTGCCCAAGGGCTTGTTTAACATTTTTGTGCATCCTGACAGATAAAGGAGCCTTTTGTACTAACATCTAGGAGCTGGGGAGGAGGCTGCAGCCCTCTGCTTTCCCAGCACGTTGAGACCTCATGCGTGTCCATGACAGGGTGCTGGGGCAGCTGCACCCACCTGTGACCGTGGTCCCGTCCTCCTGGACACAGGTCCCCTTCCCACAGCAGTCCCCACCAGACCCCGTGCTTGCATGTCTGCGGTGAATGCTTGGAGGTTGCTCATTATGGGGAGCCGAGTTAGGAGTTTCACAGAGCAAGGAGCTGCCAGGTATCACAGCCGTGCGCCCCTGGGAATTACCCCACCATGAAGCCATGT